AACCATAGTCACTACTTGCCAAACTTTAACCTATATTTCAACTTTAATTAATCTTGTTGATCTAGTAATAAAGGACTGAGTCCCCATAAAAGAGACAGGTCCCCAGGATGTGAGATTTCCATCCCCACAGTGTAATAATCACTCTCCCACACACACGTTTCACATAGTTAATATTTGAACATGGACATAGATTCAGATAATGGCCATAACCAGAGCAGGAACAAGGGTAATGCGATCTCCTCTGACTCATAAATCATGAGAATGACCGGAAAGGTGTATTGTAACTCAAATAAACATGGCAGCCACATGTAGCCGCTCGCTGTCTGAATGTCACATAATCAAAATAAAGCTTCATGGAGCACTTACTGTGACTCATACTCAGGATAAGAAGCCAATTGTATCACTTTGGAAAATGCATTTGTCTAATACAGGAAGTAAACACTGAAAAGAGGGCATGTTTCTTTGGTTTCATTATGGCAAGTGTATAAAAAAACACTTAAAGATATTGGTGTGTAACGATAGTTAAAGATACAGTACATTTTATGGGGGAGGGTCCACAACCTACCTGTCTACAAGGAGAGGGTATTGCTTTATCTGGAATGTTCCACAGTATCAGTATGCATATTTTTCTAGTCTCTAGATATTTTTGAGGAATTTGGGTGAATAAATACAAAATAGATAATGTGGAACAATGTACACAATAATATAAGAGACATGTGGTGAAAAAAATAGTAAACAATCAAACAATCACAAAAAAGTATAGAAGAATATCTAATTGATCAGATATTTTCCAGTATTTTAATTTAGCCAGCATACATTATACTTTGAATCTGAATTATTACCCCCACCTTGGCTTGTATCTACACAGAAGAATGCTTTCCCCATGTGTTATGTGTAGATACAGTATCTTCACATTGTGCGATATTCCCAGTTCAAGAATTCATACGATAACATATTTGCATTGACTAAACTCCTCTTAAATTTGTTTTCTTGGATAACAGGAAGTAGTTTGAAGTTCCTATAATGAATTACATGATTAAAATGACTCTATTTCAAACATTACCCATGACAGTTTAGCACAGTTTGTAGCAAGTGCATACTGAAACATAGTGCAGCATAAGCATGCCTGTATAAATTTGCTTTCCCTCCAGCACTAAGAAGCTATGCGTAATGTATATATATATGGATGCATTAAGTACATTATAATCCAGATGGGGTTTAATGAGCTGAACCCAAGCATGGTAACGGTGCGTGCTGCTAAAATTACTGCAGCACAGTAGGGAGCTGCCTCTAACTCACACACATTATAGTTTACATTAAACTGTGTGTGTCCGGGCCTATATCGTACGTAGAAAACTTCAAAGGAAATAATGAATGGGTTTAAATGGAAGGGCTCATTACAGTGGCACAGTAAGTCAAGAGAACAGAGACTTGAAGGAAAGAGCTATAGATACTGCTCATTGACCTGGTAAATCGTGATAATAAAGTAAATATACATGAAGCTACAGTAATAATATAGAATATACAATTATTTTCAAAGTAAAAAAAACAAAAAAACATACCTGCTTGTCGGTGCCCAGTTACATAAGACTGTGGAATCTAAGCAGTACTTGGATAGCCAGGCTGGTGCCACCTAGTGCCTCGGCTCAATTTAATTTCTCTCCAGCGACTTGGTCAGGAATCAGAATACACTAGAAAGTTTGCAAAAACCCCGGAAATTGTAGACCGCACACCAGCCCACCAGCCAATCAGTGAAGAACTGTGAAGCCATGACATCAAACTCAAGCGCCTGTCTGGGTCCCTTTTGTGGTACAGCACAACAGTAAACAAAGCGGTCGAAATGGATGTAGATGAAGCCATACATTCTGTATTGGCAACGATTCCCAAGACTGAGGATTTTCACTCTCTGCTTTGTTTGCTGTTGTGCAGGCAATTACTTGGACACCACTGAGTGTTCCGGCGTATTACATATGTCTCGACCAAATACCAGGTTCAATAAAAAAGTACCTGCCTACCCTCGAGCGAACGAATCTTAATGCTGTGAGGTCAGACAGTTTCCTCAAAGTGGATGGGAGACTGCTGGAAAAAACACACTGCCACAGTGGGGCAGCAGTGGCTCTAGTGGAAACTAATGTTGTGTCATTAGGCAAGACACTTCAACCACCTTGCCAGTATGAATGTGGTGTGAGCATCAATGCTTTGGATGTCTTGCATGTTGCTACATGCAGTATTAGTAGTAGTTAGAGTTGGGACCTGGGCAATGCATTTACTGTTGCTATTGGGCCAAGAGCCTTACTGAGGTCTGTGGTGAGTTCTTCCATTGCATTTTAAATATTACATATACATATTTTATTTTGCAGGGGGTGTTCTACGTGTATCCATATTGGTGGAATGTTGAGTAGTTACCATAGTGACAAAAGTTTTAAGATGTTCTGAAAACTCAACATCAGTTGCAAAGTATCCATAATTGTAACTTTATTATTTTTGTTCAACAGTGAATAAACTGTAATAAACACCTTTGAAGATTGTAAAACAGATTGCTAACCAAGAAATATCTTTGTTCCTTCCAGAAAGAAATTCCCTCCAGCAACCACCTCCCTCGGCTGTCAAAAGTGTATTTCATGTAACAGGGATCAAGTAGGGATAAAGACAGGATCACACATTCAAACCATTTCTCATTACGAGCCATTTATTTTGTGATGAAAGAGGCTGCTATTCAAAATGTCATTAATCCGTGCTCTGCAGATATGACTTGAATTTTAATATCACTGGCTTGAAACAGTATCTTTTCAAAGCATTACGACAGTGAAGCTTATACATTCACTATACACACTATCTATTTGTCAGTTGTGTGGAAAGACAACCAAAGTCAAAGAAAATTATAAATATACAGTCTTTGGCTAGTTTAATAAGAAAAAAAGAAAAAATAACTTCTAGGATCCAGTCCAGAAGTGCCTCCCTGACAGCCATGTTTAATCCGTTCGATTATGAGGCTAAAGGCTTATCTCTCGGAAACAGACGTTCAAATCAATCACTTGATCAGCCCCGAGCTGTGTGTAAAGTGTGAAGTATAATGAGACACACTGTAGCTCTTGTGGCTGCATTGGTTGGACAATCTCATCTCTTTTGAAAAAATGATTTGCTTTTGAATTTAGAGTTGTACAGATGGCCAAATGAAGGTTACATGCTGGTAGTCTTATTAGAGCCAACATGAAGCACAGGGCAGATTATATTAGCTTCTATGTTGGGCAGTATGCATTCAAGACATACAGAGCTTTTGGTGCACATTGCAAACGTGATGGCGGTAGTTAAAGGAGCTGTACTGGATTTTTGCTGCAAAAACTTTAAAAAAGCCAGAATAGAGTTTTTCCAATCATGGTAATGCTAATGACAACTAGCATGCTAACAGTGCACCAGTCTTACTTGGTTAATAATTTGATGCAGACGGTAGATGGTGGTCTCAATTTGACGCTAAGAGCTTCTTTAACAATATATCTCTGCTTGGAAAGACTTTATTACTAAAAAAAAAAAAAAGAAGACTACAGTACTTTTGATTCTGACTAAATGAGAACCTACAGATACCAAATTCATATGATGGGTTAACTATCTTGCCCAAGAATACAATTGTAGTAAACTATGCTGTAGTATGCTAGCCAGGCTGGCTCCACCTAGTGCCTCCCCTCAATTTCATTTCTCTCCAGCGACTAGGTCAGGAATAGGAATACGAGATTGAGGATTTAAAGCCGAAACAAAGAGAATGTTTGGTGAATTTTATCAAGGGGAAACACGTTATTGCCCTTCTTCCTATGGGATTTAGGAAAAGCTTAATATACCAGTTAGTCCTCCTACCGTCAAAGGGAACAAATTCTAATGCTGCAAGGTCAGATGGTTTCCACGAAGTGAAACTGGCTGATGAATCAAGCTAGTAGTATTCACTATCTACATGAAACTGCAATTGAACCGGCAACTTTGTCAAAGTTTCAGTTAGTTATTGGTTGGTTAGTTACGAGAGTGATGAAAATCAAAAATAAGTCAACCACTCAACCACCTGATCTCAACTATATAACGTTCACTGAAACATAAGCACATTAATATAAGGACATTAAAATGTAAACCAAGACATAACTAGATGTTTCAATCATTCATGGCCTGACTAAGCCCTGCCTATAAACTTATTTGATGTAGTCAATAGTGGCGAACTTACAGACATTTAGTTTGGCCTGGTCTAATGGTTTAAATATGAAATAAGCATATGTTAGCTCTGCTCTGATCCAGCTCTGTGAGGCACAGGCCCTCAGCTCTTTAACGGCCTGGCAAACCACCATCAGGCTTAGTGAATATTTTTCCACATTATCTTCTACTCTCTGCTCCAAGCTCCCACCAAAATGAATCTGCTTAGTTTGATAAAATGTGAAAATGTATCATGGCAACAGCAAATACTTGAATATTTTAAGACAAATAAATTAAATATAGATTATTTTGGACACTGAGAAAAACTGAATATGTGTTTTCAAAAGGTCACATGCATCTTTGGCTACTGGGGATAGTAGCAAAGTATGCAGTAGAATGAATTATTTGGTATTTCCTTTTATTTAGGATGCATTAAGTTATATGGTCTTATTTGTATACGTATTTTTAGGATAGGCTAACAATTAAACAGAATAACCAGCAGTTAATGTTAGCCACAAATTGCTTTTGATTATGTCAGCATGCCATGCCATTGTAAAAACTCAAGCCACCAGGGGTCAGTGAAAAGTGTAAGTGCCTTGTGACTACAGAGCTCTACTCAGACTACTCAGATTCTCTTTAGTTTATGTACAAGTCTATTTTTGTTTTTGTCCCGTTGTAAGACTGGTCAAATATTTTAACTGTACATCATTGTTCAAGTGCTAGTTATCCTTTTGTCTGCAAAACATTCAAAACTTGTTTCTTGTCTCATCTCATGCCGAAGTGTCTGCTATTGTCCGTATGCTCCACTTATTGATCCGTCCGTTCTCTGCTCACAGGTCTGTCCACAGGGGCAGGTGCTTGTCCCTAATGTATTGTAATAGTATCTGCCCTCTCTGCTCCACAGCCTGGATCAGAGCTCTCAGACCTCCGGCTCCTCCGTGGCTATCCCAGAATTCCTTGTCGGTGTAAAGGGAGCGCAGAAGAAGAGACTCCAGACAGCCCGACTGCAGCACGGATACAGCCCGCTCCGGAAATCTGAGAAAGAGGAGCTAAATTAGTATGAATTGTATGCAGACATTTTTATCCAAACAATATTGAATGATGGCACAAGAAGCTTTATTTATTTATTTATTTATTCATTCATTTATTATTATTTTTTAATCTAGATGCCCTCCTTGCCACAGTCTTTTGCAATGGATGGAATTTAAGTTAGCTATCTTCATTGAGCTAAGCAGGCAACATCAATAGGCCAAGTTACAGGTCAGGTCTGTGAAGAGATGATAGTAAGTAAGAATACATCTTTTCAATGTATTTTCTTTACTGTAATTTAATAAATCTCACACAGATGTAGTTTTAATGTCAAACTGTGAAACATTCTAGGAATAACAGTAGCAGCTGGCAGACCCTCCACAAGAAATGTTATACAGTGAACCTTTAAAGTTAAAACCTACACATTTATTTATCACATACACATACACATATACATACACATACACACAAACACATGTATTTCTTTTTTTTTAACATTACCTTAACATACAATCATAAACGATAAATTCTGTGCCTTCTTTATCATTATTATTAGTTTGTACAACCATAAACAAAAACTTCAAAAAAAATCTTTACAAAATGAAGATAAGATAAGTAAAGTATTTCTATTTGAGGGGTTAATATATGGAACAATCTAAGTGATGATTTTTAAAAAGTCTAACACTGGAGAAGCCTTAAAAAAAAAGAGTATAAAGCATTATGTTTTGAAAGATACAGAGCTCTGGAATGAACAAATTATGCATTAAATTGTGTTTGTTTTAATTTATATTTTATATACAGTAAGTTGTAAGTGAAATTGTAAATGCAGACGTGCTTTTCATACGCTGCTTTATTTCTTGGAATTCTGTCATTGTTTAATAGAGTTTGGCATTATAAGTACCTTTTACTTCAGCCTAAACCCTTTTGGTCATGATATGATCCATGGAGTTGTAGTCTATGTTTTGTTGTTTTTTTTTTTTTTAGTGCTGCAAAATGACCAAATAAAACTACTAAAACAACTTAGCAGATTCTTAAAGCAGGTTTCTTTGCATGGCATTTTTCAATAGGTTCTTATACAAGAGTTAAAATATGCAGCTTTATGTTGATAATACATGGGCAGATATTTCTTCCTCTCCCTGTTTTTATCAACAAGAGAGTCATTAAGAGCAGTGCCTGTTCCAGATGTGTCGTGAAGATTTGGGGCTGATTTAAAAGTATCCCACAGAGACAAAGGGACCACCTACATTCTCTGAACACTGAATCACTGGGACGCCCAGCAATCTGTTATGAATAAAGATCAAACAAACTCCAACCTAAAATTTAATCACAATATTTACATTATATTGCAAAAATGTGTGGAGGATTTTTCTTGGGAGCTTTACTCTACTGTGTTTGTAAACCTGACAAGCCAATTGCAGCAAGAACTCTGAAAATCTAGATTTAAAAGTGAGGTCAGGTCTGTGGAGAGATGACCCCACTCACAATATTATGATACAATGTTATTCAATCTAAGTGCAAGGCCATGCATATTGTGATACATTGTAGATAAAGTGATATCATCGCCATGGAGACAACAAGGACCTCACACTAGCAAAGTTACACAGTGTTCGTTTAATAATGGTACATTTAGCACAGCGCTGTAACAAAACATGTGACTCAAACTTGCAATTGGGTACTTAGACAGAACATAAGAGGATTATAAAAATACTCTGACAGCTACGTATTTTTAGTTCATAAATCATCATTATATCACTGCTTATTTTTTCTAGCATATGAAGAAACAAAAGCAACTCTTGTCCAAATCATATGCAAGAGAAAACACTATCTTGACCACATTCAATACAGTAGCTATAGCAGTATCAAAACAAACAGTACAATGAGACTCAATGTAAACCTATACACAGATGCTATTCATAGTCCTACCTTTCATTTACATATACAGACAGACTTCACTGAAACAACATTTCTAAATTAAAATAAGTCGTTCCTCTTTGAAATGATTGAAAATAATCACTTTTCTTCCTCTCAGTATTACCTAAAATAACAGCACAGCTACTCAGACAGTTAAGAGCATGTTATAAAGCAGTTGGCAAATGCTAAGTGACATACAAATGGGAGTTTCTATTAGGCCCAGATACATGCGGGATACTCAATACTGGCTTAATTGAATGAGCACTAATCTAATCAGAAAGGCAACAGTAATAAGCTTGGTGTGGACGTTTGGTGGAGTTTGCAGCTTCTCACCAGGGAAATATGTCTATCATGGAACATCTCCTCCTGCTGTGCGCTCAAATGAGTTCTGATCTCAATGGAGCTCAACAGTGACCGCCCACCATGGGGTTATGAAAGTCCATTTCACATTAATTTTTCTCTTAGACTTTCCAGAAAAAAAAAGAAAAAAAGAAAACATAAAAAAACATAAAAGAATATTTAAAGTTTAAAAGCTTGCAGGGGGCTAATTGGCAAAGACACTTAAAGACCTTTACTTTTATTTAAAGAGGAGGTATTACACTTACACATTTTCAGATCACCAAGTCACTCCCCTTCAGAGTGCTGTCAGAACACAATCAATGTGCATAAAGCTAGTGAAACTACCGCACATTGTATCAGATTTGTGAAGTTGTAGTGTATTATTTTATATCCTGCCTTTATATTTGTGAAAAATGGCCATGCAGGAGCGTGGGCTGGAGCAATCTAAAGAGCTTCCTTGTTATATAATGTAGGTTGAGCCTTGTACAAGAAGCGTGGGCTCACCCTGCCAGCGATAAGGAGGGTTCGGATAGGGCCTGAGAGAAATTGCTAGATTACTCAAATGTGCATGGATGACATATAAAACCACTTCAGGCATGTTTCTGTTGAGGGAACAACATGATAACATGGTAGAAATCTCAAAAAAGATTTCCCCCTAAAAGCTGTTAAATGTGTTTTGAACTGTGTTATGGACATTAGTTAACGCGTAGCTGGTGAGACGCCGAACTTTTAAACTCTAATATTTTTTAAAGAGGCTATGGGGGAAAATTAATGGTCCATTTACTTCTGGAACCTTAGCAGGCTTCAAAGTGGGCGGGACTGTTGAGCTCCATGTATTTGCTTACTAAGAGCTTGGTGGAAAATATGAGGCTGAAATGATGGTGCACACAGTAATGAGAAGTAGATGCATCCAGGTCCAAAAAGTATAAATACTCAGTTAAACACTTACTGGTCAATGCCCTGGAGCAGTCTGAAGTTGAGGTTGTCCACAGGCTGTAGTGGCCGACCAGCATTGTCTATAAAAACCAGTCTGGATGGCTCAGCTTTCCTCACCTGCAGACACACAGAAAATCACAAACCTGAAAAATGTTTGCAATTGATTCCCTTCAGTATATATGAATATTTTATAACTAATATAAAGCTACTCAAGTGTATAGACTTTTAAGTGGCAGCCTTGAAAGCTTTTTTGGTTAAAACTGCAGTCTAGTCTAATAATCACCTTCCATCAGTTTACTATATTTATTATATAAGAAGGTAGAATTATTGCCAAGATTTAAACCTAACAAAATATTTCTTTCTCTCTCTCATATAAATTCAAAGGTGAAATATGTACACTTTGTAGTTTTCCAGGCTTTACTTAAAGGAGAACTCAATAGCAAAGATTAAAGGTTACGCAAAATTGACTCTTGAGAGCTTTAAGCCATGTAAGCAGTGTTGTTACTTTATCAAAAATTTATCTGGAGTTGTGTTTTGTTTCATTCACACATGTTTGAGTAATCCTTTATTAGTCTGTCTACATCTCCCAAGCTCAGAATAACCTGTTACACCCTCTGATGCAGGGGTGCTCACACTTTTTCAGCATGCGAGCTACTTACAAAATGACCAAGTCAAAATGATCTACCTAATACAAAGCTAAGCAAACTGCACTGAAACACTTTGTGCCCCTTTTTTGGACCCTCACCCACAGTTTGAGAACCCCTTCTTTAAGAGAACTTCCTCTGGCACTTTACACAAAACTATGAAAAAAGTGAAGGAAGTAGGTAATATTTTTAAACCTGTTTTTTAAAGTTCAAAACTGGAGTTGCATTCTCTTCTGGTTTTGCAGTGATATTTACCAGCCTCTGCACATTTACCAAACCAAACACACATCGTGACAAACACAGATGCATTTGTGCACTTTTGTTAGACAAACTTCAGCCAAATGTCACAGTAGGTCTGTTCTGTAGATCCGCTCTATGCTGTAGACCTGCTTTGTGCCAACACTGTAACACAAATTTAGATTCGTTTTTGCTTCACGTTTCGTCTTGCTCTTCTAATCAGCGCACTGTGGAAGGGGCTTATGTTCGCTGTACGCAGGAAGGAGCGAGAGCGTGAAAAGGCGAGGGGCGGCGTGCTGACGTGAGGCAGATGGACAGGTAGGATGTTTAGGAAGTTGAACCTGCCCTGTGATGCACGCTGGTACACGAGGGCACACGCTGTTGCAGACGAGCCGTGCATAGGGAGCGTGTGTATTTGTGATGTGCCGTAGAGTCTCCACGGGTTTCAAATGAGCGCACAGGCTGCATTGAGACGCCCCACACGCTCCTGCACCCCGGTACAAGTTTATTGCCAACAGCAGCAGCCGTAATGAAATATGATCGCACTTGATGAGTGTCAGACCTTGAGCGAGAGACAAGACCCGGGTCCAAACGGGATCGAGTCCGAGATGAGTACTAAGACACGACGATCTACCCACACGACCTTGGCGATCGACTGGTAGATCGGGATCGACATATTGCGCACCCCTGCTCTGATGTTACTGATGATGCCTTTTACCTTTCATTCAGTAGAAATTACCCAGTGATTCTAGAAAAGGTGTCTGGAGATTAAACACACAGTGGAGCACTTCCTGTATTACCACATGAGGTAACATATATAAGAAAAGTACATAGGTAAAGTACATACGGTGGAACAAGGTGTTTTCTGTTTGTGAGAAAAAATACACAAAACATAACTCCTGGTATCTTTTTGGCAAGGAAACATTATAATATAGGCCAGAAAACAATGTAATATAGACCCTTTAAATGTCAGATCTGTGGAGAGGTGAATCCGCTAAAAGTATCAATGTTTTTCAAACTAGCCTAAAAAACAAACCCACAATCTATGTTCTGAACAACTGCTGCACAGATGGGTTAGCAGTTGTACACTGCAACATAAAAGTTGCTGGTTCAATCCCCAAAATGATTTCAAAGCAGTCCTTCATGTGTAACTGTGATCCTCTTTGTTGAATTACATGATGGAAGACTGTAGATATAAGCATCATACAGTTATGACAGGCTTCTATCCCACACACACCACACTGCACCAAACAATCTCATTATCAGATATGAGCCTGGAGCCTCTAAACCTGCTGTTTGGGTTATTTTTACACAAACAACTCCACCGCATCTATTTTTACAGCGGGCACCGACCCACCACACAAAACCTATGTAAGATAATCATCCGCAGCATCATGAAGAATCCAATCAGTCAGAGCAGTGGCCTCCAGATACACACAGCAGAGGGAGATGGATCTAGCATAACATCTCCAGCTCCTGCTATGGAAGGCTCCTATATGAGGCCGCATTAGTTTATATCATAAATAATGTTGTGCTGTATTACATTATGCTATTTCAATTTTGTGGCAAGGCAGTAAGATGAAACACATTTGATATCCACACAGAGGCGTAGTACAAATAAATAATGTCTGTGCTTTTTAGAAGTATAGCCTATATATACAACTGGTCACTGGAAGCTACACTGCATGGGTGAGTTTCTTAGTTAAGCATGTTTTTTATGCGTTTATCTGTCCTATTATCACACAAAATTGATTCTTGTGAGCTTAAGCTATGTTATAATGTTATTAGTTCATCAAAAACATGCCCAGAGTTGTGTTTCATTTCATTCACACATTCACACAATCATTTAATATTAGTTTGTAGTCTACATCTTCAAAGCTCAAAATATTCTGTTCCCCCTTGTAATGTCATTGTAGTTGTAGTTTTTGCCATGGTTCATGTTTTGTAGTCGCTGTTTTTGCTTATTTTGGTGTAGCTTTTTCCTTTAGTGTTGTGTACCTTTGGTGTTTTATTTTGACATTTTGATATTTGTCCTGTCTGCTTCTAGTTTTGAGCTGTACTTCCAGTCTGTTGATTGTTTGCCCTGCCCTAATGTGTTACACCTGTATCTGTGTGCTTATTTACCCTGTGTTCTCCTCTGCCCTTTGTTGGTCCATTGTCATTGTCAGTGTCTTGTCTAGTCATGGCAGTTTAGTTTCGTTTTTTTGGATTTCTGGGACTTCAGCTGCAGTCCTGCATTTTGGGTCCACCCTCTGTAAAATCGTGACAGTTATAGGTAGTTAACAGCAACCTTTCACCTTTAGTTCAGTAAAGATAGGGCCTTCCAGGTCTGAAATCATCATATTGATTCTAAAGTGGGAGTATATGGAATTTAAAAACACAGTGGAGCAATTCTTGTATTAAAACATTACATCACAAGGCAGGACAAAACAACACAGCGTAAATATGCAAGATTTGTGTGTTAAACATGAGTGAATGAAACAAAACACAACTCCGGGTGTGTTTGTAATGAGGAAACAACCTAACATAGAAATAGCTAAATATTGGTCTTTTCAGTAAATACACAAATTGTGAGGGCTTGTTGATATTTTGGTACTGGTGATGTTCATTCATAAAAAAATGCCTATAACAAGTTATATTAAATCTTGAAAAACATATTTAGCTATAACTTCAATTTAATTTATGGGTGTTGCGGGGGATTTTAAAATGCTGATATTGGCAAATATAGGTGACTGGCCATGAGCAGGATAAATATTGGATATCAGTTTTGAAGAGAAAAAATCGTATAGAAGCACATTAACAAATGATAATAAGCAGGCGTGTGGAAAATGTGTTTACTTTTGGATTGGACAAAATAGGGTACTGCTCTACTACTTCTGCAAAAATAAATAGGTCATTTGACAGGCCAAAAATATCAACTTAACTGCACTAAATAGTTACTATAAATGGCATCTGTATACACTATAGTATAATGTGTTAGGCCTGTTTGGTGTTGTGTAAATAATATATCCATTATAAATGAGCTGTCAGTACCAGGATGTGAACCAGCTGCAGATCTCTGGTGTTCCCACATCTGGAGTGAAGCCTGTTCTCCACACACAGGTCTGAGGGATCAGGCTTAAAACCACAGCAGTATCTGTCCAAGCGGTCATTCACCTGAAAACATACAAAATATAATAAGGTTAAACAAGTCTGATTTTATTTTTTGAAAGACCAAAAGGGATTTGTTGATGTAACAAACACACTGTAAATTGAGCAAAAGATTTCATGTGCTTTCATTTCCCTGAGGCGTAAGAAGCCTCATCTAACCTGAGTATATTGTAACACTTTATGCAGAGCCTTCTCTTAATTTTAGTATTATTAATATAGTGTGCCCCCAGGAAGAATAGTTATTGCTGTGGAAATACCCCCCCCCCCCGAAATATTCATCTACAACAACTTCATAAAATAAACAAGTTCGCTGACATCCGACTTAGAAAACCGTGGTGGCTAATGGGACTGAAGTTACCATAACCTCACAACAACAGGGACATGAAGTTGTTAGTTCCTCCGATGGATAGCTGCAGATCACGCTAGCGAGCCACAGATTTCTTTTAATTTGTACCAAAATTAGTATACGATGTTGCCAATTTCTATGCATCTCACAGATTAAGATAAATATAAATAGATAAATAAAATTGGAGAGGGAAGTTAGTACAGAAAAAATGGCATATGCCGGTGGCAATGAAAACTGGGGTCAACCGGCAATATGGCATCTTAAAAATAAGCTATTAAATATTGGTGCCCAAATCACTCCAAATACAACTTTGAGCGCGTAAATGAGAAGGGGGAAGAACAGCTATAACATGGTTAAAACCTCTGAAAAGTTCATTTTGCATAATAGGCCTGCTTTAATGAAAGTAAGATTTCCATTATACTGTGCATGTACATTTTATTTTGACACGGTTGCTACGTTCTTCTTGACACCTCAGTGCGACTTGCATCACTGCAGCCCCTCAGCTCCTCTCTGTGTGTGTTCTCACCCTGATGCCAGTTTACACTCACTAACCCTCACCCTATAACACCCTGCCATCCTCAGACTGACCCAGCTCTGTCCCTGCGCCCTGTAGTACTCCGCAGGGCCAATATTGACTTATACCCAACACTGTGAGATGTGTGGGGCTGCTGTGGTCAGAGCCAGCGGAGGTGTGAGGAGCAGTTTGTGGGAGGCAGATAAAATGAAACTGTATTGACCACTGGTCTCGTATTCAGCTCAATATGAGACAATGCAATCCACAGATACAGGGGATCCACAACATATCAACGCATTACACTCCATTATTGTTTCTAACTTAACTTGAGCTAATTAACTCCTCAGTGCTTCTCGTGCATTTTTAAAAAGCAGTAATACGTGAAATACCTGTATTCAAATCTAAATAGTTTGGAATACATAATACCACAGGTCTGAGAAAACCAGAATAACCCTGAGTTTACCTTAATAAAGACTGATTTATTAAAGTCAAATACCTAACAATGCCCTGTCTTTATGTGGTCCAGTAAGAGCAGAGTGGAGGTGGAACAAAGACTAACCCTGTGTGCTGCTGTGGCTGCATTATTCATATGAGAGGCATTTTCAGAGGGAACATGCAACATGCATTAGGAATATAAAGGGCTGCATGATGGTAATGTGTCAGGACTGGGGGACAGAGCACAAGGTACACCTCTTAGTTTGGTGGGTTGTCATGAGCAGCCATGACAATACAAACAACTTTTTTCTATACCTGGACTGAGTCACCTCTCCAGAGATCTGACCTGTAACTTGGTCCAGTGTAGTTACCTACATGTTTGATAACTACATCATGGAGACTACGTGGAGATAGTCTAGATAAATGCCAAACTGTGGAACATTCCAGGAGGAGCAATAACATCTCCACAGAGAAAAGCAGGTGAGTAACTGGGTCCATCATTGATTATACCATCCAGAACAAAACATACACTATAGCCTTTTGTTATTGCCAGACAAGATCCTGTACTAGAGCAAAGCCAGACAGTGAAAAGCAATATAGAAGGACAAGTGAGTAATGCTGCATTCAAGTTGTACTAATCCACTTATAAAAGTATTAATGGACAATTTATATAACATTCTGTATTCAAAGAGATTTGAACTCAATGTTAAAATAAACAAGCAACTTTACTCTTTTCTACAGTTCCATAATGTGCTGCTGTGTTCACACTTTATGTTAAAAATATGTGCACATTCATCTCACCATTATCCAAGTTATACCTTATAGTTTTGAATGTTTCTCTGCTTTCTGAATAGGATTACATAAAAAATGCATGCTACTAAAACTACTATGAAGACTTGCTCTTCCAATTTTTTTTGTACAGAAATAGACCAGACATAAACCTTTCTCAGATAGTTTTAGAATGGCCTTGATCCAAAAATATATCAGAAATAACATTCACATTGTAGGTACTATTACAGTAACTGCTATTATTTATTGCCAAACAATTATAAATTCTACCATCTTAAAAGATTATTTTTACTATCATGGGCGGTAACAAAGTTGCTATCGAGCTTTTTCCTTCCAATCAGATTCAACTTTCAAATTTCAGCATTGTATTACAGTATTCCCCAGCTGGCTCACGCCTTCACTGTACCACACTGTACACTGTCTCCTATTGTCACCAGACCCCCCTATCCCCCCATGGGACCTCCAGTGTGTCCTTCACGCACTGAGCCTGTGGAGGTGTGAGGGGAGCAGGTAGAACAAGTGTCTACAGCCCCACTCATCGCCTCTCCCCTGGATCGATACCAGGCTATTAGTGCTTGGCCCGCTTACAGGCATTGACTTCTGCACTCATGGGTTATTCATATCAGCCCTACACACACACACACACTCACTCAAAACCCGGAGCGAGGCATTATGGGTACACAGTGGCTATTTCACGGTGCAAAGAACAAAGCAGGACAGGATTACTACAGTGCAGGTTGTAAAACCGGTGACATGGATGTGAGAAGGGAGGTAGACATATTTGACACTGGCTGTGAAATGAAAGCCAAAGTATAACAACAACAAAAGAGAAGATAGAGGAAAACTAAGATAAGGTAAAGAGGTTTCTGATCACCCATGCAGGACGCCATGCAAACGTCAATACCAGATCGATAACCAAAGAATATGATAGGGACAAAAGCGGTTACACAAGATTTAGTGTCAGTAAAATGGAGTAAATTCATTCTACAATTCATGCTCAAATATGTAAACTATAAAGCTTGGTTGTATTGACTAAACTATAAACACACACACATCTTGGAGTTGTGAGTTCTATTCATACATACTGTACATACATACAAACATACATTAATAAATAAATAACTCTACTATATAATTGGCTCTGTGCCTGCTGCCAGTATCCCGGATGTCTCTCCTCACTCTTCACCTTTTTAGAGATATTGATTCCTCAAAATTGTGTATCATGGTGCATCAACTCTATAGTTTGCATGTGTAATGGTAAAGCAACTTTTAAAATGCATCCAACAAAAAGATAGCAATACACTCATTCAGCAGAAACTACAATGTTAGAGATGTGTTATAGTCTTTCTTCAGTCGTTTTACAAAGACAGAAAATATAGTCATTAAAAATAAATAAATAAATAAAAATTCCCATGACTTGGCTTTACTTGACCCATTTTACACTGTTATTTCACACCAGGCACACAAGCTAACAGAGCTGCCACTCATATGGTCAAAATTAGCACGATAATTCATACGTGAAAACTCCACTTCTTAAACCCTCCATTGTACTGTCAGATCATTATGTCCCTGTGCAGAAGCCAGACTAGTGTGTGTGTGTGTGTGTGTGTGAGCGTTCGTGTGCGTGTGTGTGCGTGTGTGCGTGTGTGTGTGTGGGGGCTACAAAGCGTTCACACACTGTAACACTGCTGCCCATTCACTCAGTGATTTTTGGCCTATGTCGCCTCAGTAAATGGCTTTTTAATGCATCTTTTAATTAGCTTTTCTCTCCACATTTCACGGGCGGTTACTGCTTCCTGACCCCGGCCAATATGAGTCTACACTTGTGAAAACTTATCATTGAAGGCTGTGGTACCGTGGTCAAACTTTAATGCCTTGAGTGAAAATGTGTTGTGATTAATCTAAAATGTCACAAAGTGCAATGTGTAACTTTCTGGTTAAGGCATCTGGGGCTGACTTGTCTCTATGGAGACGCTAAAAATGAACTAAATAAATACATGCATTCTTACTGTTCGCTGATCTGACCTTCAATTTGACCTGATGGCATCAACTTCTAGTTTCCATGGAGATAGATATGTTTATTGCCATACTGTGTAACATTCTAGTGAAAGCATCTTTCACAGTGCACATTTAACTGGACGTACCATTTAACAAAATCACTGAGGCTCACGCTATTTGGTAGAAATGAAGAAAAAGAAAACACATAGATCATATGGATCTAATTACAATATCACAACCCCCATCCACACGACTTTTAATATGCACCAAGATTAATGATGGGCTGCAGGTGCTGGGGTTTAGTAGAGATTCAGGAGGCCTTTTAGCTTTCAACCAACTGGATTTCATTATTGAAATTGGCAACCCAAATGAGAGACACATGTGAGACTCATTCTTGATAATTACAAAATACCAAAACACCACATTAGAACATAAACAACTTGAACATCATATCCAATGTTTTATTGTAAAACCAACAGTAACACAGTTATGGGCTATATTTGCAAATGTAATATTTAGAGACACAGATAGAGAACAACCTTTGTATAATCATTACAAAGCCTACCTTTACTGTCAATCAATTATAATACATTTAATAGTCATGGCTACGAAAAAGAAAATGTGTACCCTCTTTGTGAAATATAGCTATTTTTGAGTTTTGTCAATAAAATGCTATGGATTTGTCAGATGGTGCACTTACTGCATAGAGGCCAGAGCCATCATCTTGTCAATAAAGTAATTAAGGAGGCAGGCGCTGGTATTGACCCCTGTATGAAGTTTGACTATAGTGCACTCAAAGGTGATGGAGGGTTTAAAGAGAAATGGAAAATGAAAATGTTTTACAGTGACTACAGGGCATTGAAGTCCTTGCAGTGTACACATTATTTAAGCATGTATCAAGAATCCAGTCTCCATTTGACCTTCCTGAGTAATTAAAAGGATAAATAAAACAGATTTGATCTTATGATCTTCAGCACACCTGCAGTGATAATACACAAATATGTTAAAATTACACTGTGTAACATTTGTGGTGTGGTAGAGGTTGAGTGTTCAACCCACACTATGGCATTCAACTTTTTCTACTCATTTTAAGAAGTAAAAAGTATTTCACACACATTGTGAGGTCTTATAAGTCTTCAAATGCAGTGATTTGTGCTGAATTTTGTTCAGTAGAAACAATGGAATCAATTGTTTTTTAAATATTTTTGTCTGCTCAAATTATGAACGTGCTAAAAATAAACCAGTACTTCTCAAACTGCTCAGCTTTTATTTTTCAATCCTGTTCAAAAATGTGGAGTAAAAAGTACAGATATCTGCTCATAAATGTAGTGAAGTAAAAGTATAAAGTATACACTTTAAAATCTACTTAAGTACAGATACCTACAATTTATACTTTGGTACAGTACTTTAACTCTTTTATTTTGTTACCATCACTGCCATAACATACCCATCACTGCTTATATTTAAAGGTGCATTGTGTAACATTTCTTGTAGTGGGTCCATCAAATGCTTTTCTCCATAGAAATGTTATTGCTTTGTCTGGAATATTTCACAGTATGGCATTAAACCTTTCTGTCTACATGGAGACCAGAGCAAACCAAGTTACAAGTCATATCTATGGAGAGGCGACCCAGCTCACAGTCAGAATACCTGTTTTTCTAGATGTTTTTGAGCTATAAGATCACCTGGAATTTTATAAATGTAAGGTAGAGCTGTTTAATATCATACTGTGGAACATTCCAGACATAACAATAACATCTCCATGGAGACAAGCAAGTGACAGACCCTCCATCAGAAAAAAGTTGCACAATGCACCTTTAACTAATAAATTTAGAATCAATAATTTGTAAAGCCTATCTTCGTAGCTCTACTGATTTTTGTGTTTTGTGCTTTTGCGTGTGAGAGCCATCGTGAATCACTCATTGGGTCGATCTGACTTTCTTCCATTCACTGAACAAAATCAAAGCAGTGGGTTATATAACCACTGGCTCCATGTGTTTCGAAGGCCAGAACATTGGTCTGCTCTGCACCTGTTTAAAGTCAAGAGCATATCAATAACTTAGGTACAGAGAGATACAGATTTAAAGAGCAGATTTTTCTTTTTAACAAATTAATTGCAGTTTCACATTTTTCCATTCTGTGTAAATTACTGTAATAGACTTTTATAGCACCTCTTTGGTTGTGTTAGATTTCACTCGAGTGAGGTTGGAAAACATTTATTTCCGTGTCTTTAATTAGCAGCGTGTTCTCTGATTATAGGAGCACACGGAACATATGCTCTTGAAGTCTGTCCAATGTTTTAGTACGAAAAGTTTTGTTTTGGCTTTGAGATAACATGAATCATCATGTTCTACTTTTCATTACGGTTACAAACTGTCCATAAACCCATGACAATAATTCAGTGCCCCAAAAGGTTTGGATTTTGAAACAACTGCATAAAAAAATTTACTACATATGATATATTATTATGCTTTTTTTTTTTTTTTTTTTAATAGGGTTGCAGGTACCATGTCTGAACTATCTCTACATGCTATCTATATACTTTGGGCCATGGGTTACCTGTACTCTGAGTGTGGGCAATAAACTAAACTACAAATAATAAGAAGTCGAGAAATGAGAAATGAAGTACTGAATCAGGTAATACTTTATACTAGCCACACATTAATTAGCCCCAGTAAAGCATGAACAAAGATTTCATTAATAATGAAAAAAAAAAAAATCATTTATTAAGAATGATTCAGGCTTATAATTAAATATGATTGGTGGTGTCTTACCTGCAGTAAAAAGTCAAACAGTGCCAGCCTGCTCCACTCTGAGTGATTCACCCCAACACACGGCACTTCATGTAGGTCCATCTTTATTCCACATCGAGCCTTTAACATCTTCTGATACTGATTGTAACTCAACGGGACAGAGTTTTGGTCATTGTTACTGTCCTCTAAGTGTTGTATGTCTGGGTCCCACCACACTGCTGGTCTGGGCCCCCCTCTGATGTATCTATAGGGCAGAATCTCACTGTGGAATGACCTCAGGACAGCAGGGAGGCTTCGGTTTAGTCCCAAAACCCGGTCCAAGTGGAAGGCAAAGACTTCAAACCAGTCTTCTGTGCGTTTGACCAGAGAACACTGCCCCCTGTGACAGCGATCGGTATGGATCAGGGTGGGGGACAACTCAGGCATCCCATTACCCTTTGTCTGCAGTAGAATGAGAGATTAAATGTTAACACAATATTATATGTACTACATAATGTTTATGGAAGTTTGTAAGTGCAAATTAAATTAACTTATTTTTTAAATGGTTTATACAATTAAATCTGTTTATTTATCATAATTGTGAGAATTATGTTAAGTGTGACATTTTAACAACTGCATTACACGCTCATTACTTTAAGCTAAAGTAATCAGACAAATTATGTTTTGTTTCTTTAGTTCCAAATCTCATATCACAATTAAATACCTTTGTCTAAATGCATACACATCAGCTACAATAGTGTCTGCCAGGCAACTAGCTCAAATCAATTTGAAGACACTGAAAATGAAAACTGTATGCACTGAAGCATTTTCTAGTGGAAGGTCTGCCACCTGTTTGCCTCCGGTGAGTTAAAATAGCTTTGCCTGGAAAGTTCCACAGTAAGACACATATCTATCTCCTTAAAGACAAGAGGTGATGAATTAACGGCAGGTCAGATCTGTGGAAAGACTATTCCGTTCATGTGAGAATGCAGATTTTTTTCCCCCTTCCAGAAGTTACACAGTCCACTTATAACCACAACACCATATTATGATAAATTCTAAAATACTTTCATGCTTCCTGTAGTACCTGTTTGTGGTCAGGCATCTCCAGAGCCACCTGCAGGACCTGTCCGTGTGCTGGGACCCTGGCCTTGGTCACTGGCTCTCCTCCAGCAAGCAGCTTCATCTTCTGGATGTCATCTTCACTCAACCAGGGTACGTCCTTCCTGTCTCTCACTCTTATACTGCTATCATCCCCACCAGGAATCTTCTCTGGTTTAAAACTTGGACATTTAAAACTATCTTGACCTATTTTTTCCGTAGTCTTTGAACGCACCACTAACACAGTATCTTTCAACACTGTATTGTGCCTTTTGAAATCTGATTTTCCATAGTCCTTTAGCGTTGCCTTATTTTTTGCTTGCGTTGCACTATCAGCCTTTTCAAGTATTGTTTTTATATCACCATCCCTCATAGAAAGGACATGACCTGCTCCAGATTTTCCCCCTTCCACTTGTATATATGACTCTTTACTTTGGTTGCCTGGCTTAATTCTAGGTTTCAGCTTTTTGCTGTTCCCAGTAAACTGTGATATTTGTGGATTGGCATCACTGGTTTGCTGCCTGGCACTGCCTCCTGTCTCCTTTTTATTCTTCTCCCTATTTTTGGACATGTGGTTTTTAAATATGCTTTTGTCATCTCCTGCATTTTTCGAGTTTTTCATCTTCCCATGATTGCTTTCCCAGATGTTGTTGTTTGGGAGGGCTTTGAAGCTGATTGGCTGGTGCAAAATAGAACCAGGAAGTTGCTCTGAAGTCCTAGCTCGAGACTTGAACTCGTGGGCGGAGCTTAAAGCACGTGAAGGCCATCGGTCTGCGTCAGGATGGGGGGCAGGTGGAGGTAGTGTTAAGGCCATGATGAAAATGGTGAGAAAAAGCAGGAAAAGTGGCGAGAGGAGGAGGACCCATTTGTAACCACTGAACAATTTGGACCACACCCGCCAGGCCTGCAAAAACAGACACAAAACCAAACAAAATAAGCCAACAAAGCCATAATTGCACAGTAAAAGTACGTTAAAATGAGCGCACCACCCGATTAACCAAAAGCTTTACCAGAACAGCAAAGATGAAGACATGAGTGAGGAGTGACTGGGTGATTATGTGAAAGTGGGGTAAGCAGCAAGCCTGTCTTTCATTTCATTCACACAAAATGACAAATACCATATGCTGTCTAGTTCTTTATAAAGCTTCTGTGGTTCATTCTGGAGTATTTTCTTTGCAGAATAGCGTGGCATGGTGCAAAATAAAAAATAAAAAAAAGAGAAAAGACCTCTGCCACCACTCCACAGTGTCAGTATTATTTCATTTAATTTCATTTCATGTACATTAAGTTAATTACATCACATATAATTTAATTCCTTTATTTAGACTTATATTCTAATTTGGGTGCACACATTTTAGTTAATATAAATGTGTTCTTTTTTTTCTTTTTTTTTGAGTGCCGGGTCACTTTAGGTCACTTTATTATCAAGTATTATTTTCTGTATTATAATTATTTGCCTTTTTGTTCCTTTGATTAAGTTAGTAGTTCAGTTAATTATTTAGTGTAATTCTCCCCTCTTGTGTTCAGTTTTAGTTGATCCTCATGTATTTAAACACTCCTGTTCTTTGTCTGGTTGGGTTGGTTTTGTTCTGTTCAGTTTGATTTGAGTTACCTCAGTTGGGCCTGGCTTTTTTTTTTTTTTCATGATTTACCTAATTTGAGCCTTTGTTAAATGATCTCTTTATTGACTTTATTAAATTGAAACTTATTTTATACATTGTCTTTGCCTTTCTGTTTGGTCCACTACAACCTGGTTGTCTCCATGGTGATCCTATTGCATTGCCCAAAATGTTCCACAGCATGACATTAAACATAATTTAATCAATTACAGAAATATACAGGAATGTTTAATACTAAAAGAATACCTTCACAAAACAAGCTAAATGTAAATGCCCATGCTTGCCTCTCCACAGATCTGACTTGTAACTTGGCCTGGTGGTGAACATTGTATACCTTAACTCTTGCTCAAGAGGCTTTATCATTTCACTGAAAGACTTTTTTTTTTTTCAACCAAATTAAACTTGAACTAAACTACATCTAAAGTAAAAGAATTCAGAACATTTCATTCATTACATCTATTAGTAAGTGTTTTGCTCAAGGTCACAACAACAGTATGTAATTCTGTTGACTGGGATGCTTTAACATAAACAACTCATTCATGCTTTTTCAATGCCTTTCACATCGCTCTAAATGTAAAAATCACAAACTCCCATAAGACTCATTTTGCTGCACATATCACTGTGAGTATAGACTCTGTCCGTTGCTCTTTCTAGTAGGTTACAGCAGAATTGGACGTATCCAGCTGAGACCAATACTTCAGTGACATCTCATAATTCAGAGCTGCCTTCTGCATCGCAATAGCAGCGAAAAGAAAAAAATATATTTTACCCCACACTGTCACTGCTGCCCCAGCCTGGCTGTATATACCCCGCTCATGAAGGCACAATGAAGTGATTTTGCTAAAGAAATTCAAACTGCTGGAGTTTTTATTTACAGTACCTGCCACGCTATTCATTCTCCTTTTTCACAGTATAGATGACATCCACATAATAACACTGGGGTTTCAAAGGGCTATTGTGTGGGAGTGCATAAGGTTTGAAAGGAAAGGTTCATAGCAAAATGCAGTAAGTGTGACAGATAAATATGTCCGGGGAAACAGTGGAGGGTTCAGCGACATAAAGCATAGGTGAGATGCAGTGGCAAAAGTTAACTTCTTTCTTTCTTAATTGAGAGTGGAATAATACACTGAAACAGACAATGAAGATTGATTCTGTTACATCAGTCATTATTAAGCAGTGTTGGGATGTAACTGGAGACATGTAGGCCTGTCACGATAAATACTATATTGACTTACCATTCAATGTGAACATATGAACAATTATAGTAGTCTAGCAGTAGTAGTAGAAGAAAATGTGTACATATTACACTGCCTGCATTTAAATGGGTTTATGTTTTAGTATTTATATAAAATGAAAGGTATACTGTATCTGACTGTGTACAAGAATATACGAAGTCCGCTTTGTTGACAATAGACACCATCTTATTCTGCTGTCAAACGTCTCAGTAGTTTCCTGTTTGGCTGTGCCACTTCAATTATATCCAATATGCCCAGTGGAGACACAGCAACTATATAAACAAAGATACATCTTTTGTGCATGAAGAAAAAAAAGAAAGAAGAACAATAAAAGACAGGTTTGAAAAACGATTTGAATAGGAGAATTTTCTAGCATCAACATAACTGCTCTCAAAATATAATCTTGTAGTTATTCCTTGTTTGCTAAAGTGCACCACAATGATTCCTTGCTTGTGTTATGCAAACAGCCCTTAAGTTCCCAGGCTTTCTATCCTCAGATCTGGACCTCTGCCTGGTACAAACAAGCTCTTAAAGCCTTCTCAGTGGCCTACTTTCTTGTCCTCACATATAGGTACAAGCTGAGGTGAAAAGATACCATTTTTCAGTACTGCTTTGACCTATATAACTCTCCTGTGCTCTGCTTTTTGAGTGAAGGCTGGCTGGAGGAATGTTTGTGGACCCCAGGGATGTTTCTCCCATCTCCGATCCGTTAGCTTCGTTTCCATCGCTCTCCTCCTGTGAAAGGATGCCATTATTGGTGCACACAGCACTGGTATGAGCCGCAGTCTGCAGCAGTGTTGAAGCCAAAGCTACTATGACAGATTACACTCATGTATGTGTACAACTCGAACAGCAGGGGGTCAAATACTGGGCCATGTGTAGTATACAGCAGTGTTTCCCATAGATTTGGAGCACAAATATTTTAGTTTAAATAATTTGACCTCCTTCAATTTGGGTTGTATAAATATGACTTACTGTCTGTATTTAATCTTTAAACAGTCATTTTTGACCAAAGTAGTCTGTTTTAAATGTAAATTGGCCACTAACATTTTGGCATCACAGGAATGCTAACAACAACTAGCACACTAATAGTGCACTAGCATTACTTCCAGTTTTGTCAAAGCTAAAATTGTTAGAGGCAAAACAAATTTAACTTTTCTGTATAAAAACATCTGGAACCTGCAGCTTCTTTAACAGATTGAGCATACTCCTGAACCATAGACTTATAAATGAGTAGACATAGCTAACCCGCTAGCCACTGTGTTTCACTTAGGAAATGTTCATGGAGATACTTCCGGGTCCTTCCAACTCTGTTTCCATTTGACTTCTATTGAAAAGCTGTCACCCCTCTTTCTGTAACTACTGCAGTGAGGTTCATCATTTTGGTCTTAAAATGTTTGTATTAACCCACTCTACATGATCCTGCTGTTTTTATTTCACCATTTTGTCTGTTAATAAATTCCTATTCCTAATATAACTGTAACTGCTAGCCTAGTGAGCTTCATTTGACTGGAGTCGAACACTATGGGTGCCATCACACTCCCTTAGTCCACAGTCTATGTTCTGAACTATACAGCAACAGCACTAAAACACAAAATCATGTAAATTGCTTGTTTTTTTCCAATAAGAAGTTTGAAAACCTTGCAGGCAGTCTGTGAAAGAATATTATTGCATAGCATTTTGGATACACATACTCCCAAACTAATCTCATCTACTGTTTTTATGTTTAAACTTGAGCCAAAAATGTTTCTCTCCAAGAAATACAAGCTCATGTTGAGGCTCAGGTCAAGACAGAGCCAACAAAGATGAATAATTTTTAAGGTCATAAAAAACTCATTACATAATTGCAGTACTGAATCCAGCACATAAACGATCTGAATGTTGGCCGAGACATGAGTTCATCACTGACAATCTCCAAAACAAACTCCATATTAAATTGTCAGCACTTAAACCACCTATTCACTTCTTCATGTGCTTCTCTGTGCTTTTCTGTGCTTTCACTTTAGCTCCTCATTGCTAATTAGCGCCCATGCTACTGTTAACGTGTTGGCATGTGTGTGTGTCGTTGGCATCTTTGCTCTCAGCACCTCCGTACAACAACATCCACAAACTGCAAATGGTCAAAGATCAACAAAGAAGGCAAATAGAGATGAAAAAGCGCTGCATTGTCTGTTTCGTAAAATGTGGTTGGTTGGGCCTTCTACAGCTTTTATGACCAGCTGTGGACGTAAAAAGACTGGAGGAAGATGTGGTTAGATTGAGGAATTTTCACTCTAAAAAGCTGCCTGAGTTGTAACTTTTTAATGACTTTTCAATAATTTATTTTACCATGCAAGGGAAAGGGAGTGATCAGTAATAGTTACGGAGACGGACTTAAGACTTAGACAAAGTTTAGTGATCCTCAAGGGAAATTATTTGGATAACTATGTGGATCTGCATTGCATTTCTTTTTTTGGTCTTGGTGTTGGTGGTATATATGAAAGACTGCTAGACATTATGTATAACTCAGTTTTAGTTTATGCAAAATTGGTTCAAGTCTTTAGATAAAGCTCAAAACTTCCAGAATTCATTGATTTGAACATGCCCATCTCAATGATCACAGATAAGTAAACTGTGTGAGTAAACTAATCTTACATAAGTAAACAAATCTTTGTTCATGCAGCAAGCTATAACAGTGTAGTTATTATAAAGTGTTTCCTTGTGTTTTTACCTGCATGTTTCATTAATAAAATGCACTACAGCTTCCTCCTTCTTGGTCACTCCCTGCTGTGTAGCTTGTAGCCATACATTATATTTATGGTCTTTACCTCAACAGTTCACACATTCAGTAAAGCTACATGATGCTATTTATGAATACAAAGAATGACTTTATGTACAGCTTTGACAACTACACAACCAAGCTGTGTAACCTTCATTTAATAATTATTAAAAGCGTTAGTTTTCAATATGTCGTAAATGAA